GGGGGGGGGCGGGGCGCGGGCACGGTGTCCTGTGGGGTGGCCACCAGAGGCCTCTCTGAGAAGCAGAGACTGGAAGATATTGATGGGATGTTCTACAGGCAAAAAATGGCACTGGTAAAGAAGTAGATGAGGGGCGACTGGGGGGCTCAGTCGCTGAAGCGTCCGGCCTTGGCTCAGGCCATGATCTTGCGGTTCGTGGGTTCGAGGCCCACATCGGGCTCTATGCTGTCAACATACAGCCCATATCGGATCCTGTCTGTCGCTCCCTCTGCCCCTTCCTTGCTCCCGCATGTGCTCTCTCTCTTCTCTCCCTCAATATTATTAAAAAAATTTTTAAAAATACATGAATGAATGAGTAAGCAAGTGAACCAACAAAGAAAACCCTTCACAGCTGTCCTCTGACATTTTTCTAACGACATCTGCCAACATTCAAAAGGTGTATATTAGGGCCGTTAATGAGGGTTGTTCTAAAGCATTATTTTTTGGCACACGTCCTGTGCTCTCGGCTTACACCCCTCCTCTGCCCGGACGCCTCCCTTGATCTTCATACCCCGTGTGGGTTTGCGTCCCCGCCGCGTGGCAGCTCTGAGTGTGGGGCTCGGCCGTCGGGCCGGGCCCCGTCCCGTGTGCGCGGCCCACAGCCTCACCCGGGCGCGGGATCAAGGCCACGAACCCGCCTGTTTGCAGGTGTGAGTCGGTGCCTACTGCCTTCAATCAACTACTCTTTAGTCAGATGGTCTGCAGGGCACTGAGTTGAGCCCCCGGCCTCCAAGTGCTTACTTAAATCGATTGGCATTCAGTAAAATGGAAAAGCTGCTTCCTCAGGCGCACTGGCCCCACGTACACCCCCTCCACACATGCCCCCCTCCCCCCGGCTCATGAGTACCCACAAAAGTGTAGCCATCACGCAGGGTGGGGTGTGCAGGGGGCGTGATGGAGGAAGACGGCAGAATCCACAGAGGGGGCAAATGAATGCTCGGATTCAACCATGTCCCCCAGAGCGCCCCCCACCCCCGGGGACTGTATTTGGAGGTGGGGCCTCTACACCGGGAATTAAGGTGGAATGAGGTCCTCAGGAAGGGCCCTGATCCCACAGGAAGGGGAGGAGACGCAGTGTCCCGCGCGGGAAGACGCAGAGAGAAGGTGGCCGGCTGTGAGCCAAGGAGGGAGCCTCCCCAGGAGGGGGACCCCCGCCCTGTCCACGCTCTGACCTTGGCCTTCTGGCCTCCGGAACCGTGAGAGAATCACTGTCTGCTGTTTGAGCCCCCAGTCGGCGGTAAATTTCGTTATAACGGCGGGAGCTGAGAGATTGCAGGGAGGGGACAAAACAAGGGCGGGGGAAGGTGTGGAGAGAGGGGTGGGGAGGGCGGCGGTGAGAGGGGTGCGGAGGGGGGAGCGTTATCTGAGGGGCCGGGCTGCGGGGTCTTACAGTTCCACCACCGGCCTCCAGGGGGTGTTGTAGTAGACGAGGCGGGGGCAGCCCAGCTTCTCGTACCGATAGTTCACCACCAGGTCCTCGCGGGACATCTGTCCCCGGAAGTTGGGGTCATACGCTTCCCTAGGCAGACACAGGGAGGGGGCAGTGGATGGCCCTGCGCCGCCATCCTCCCCCATCAGACTGTGGGCGTGCCAGACCTGTGCAGTCGTGGGAACCGAGTCCTTAAAATAAATCTCCGTGCCTCTCCTATCTCTGGCCCTCTCTCTGTCTCTCCTCCTGTCTCTGTCTCTCTCTTAGGCTCTTTGTATCTCCGAGTGCGTCCCGTCACTTTTCTCTCTCCCTGGAGGTCCGTGTCACGCACCTGTCCGTGCCCCCCCAGGTCTGAGTGCAGGTTCACTGGCCGGGTTGGGCCTTGGCTGTGGGTGTGGACCGGAAGGTGACTGACTCCTGGCTTATATCCGGGGGGCCGTGGTGTATAAAACACACGCGTGTCTTCATGCTGGGGGTCGGAGTTCTCTGTTCCCCGGGTTCCAAGAAGGGTCGAGTCCCACCCATCCCACCCCATGCCCACTTGGTGGCCCTGGGGACCAGCTGCACTGCACAGAGGTCACCCTGGCCCTCACCCCCTCCTGCCTTGGAGGACAGTGTTGGGCTAACTGCCAGCTCAGAGGAACAGGTGCCCGGGCCCCATGAGCTGGTGGCAGGCTGGCAAGATGGCAGAAAGGTGGCCTGGTAGGTGGGCAGACCTGAGCCACATCACAGTGGCCCTCCCACAGGCCCGGCACCTCCCCTACCTGTCCTCTCCCCGCCCCGGATTCCCTTCTGTCGGGAAATCAGTTTAAAAACGATTTCTGAGTTGTCTTTGGGGCTGGGGGACAGTCAAAGGGAGGGACATTCAAAGGTTTCACCAACGGGAACCTTAGGCTCACTTCTCGATGATGTAGCTGTAGTTGTCCTGAAGGCCCACGGGGTCCAGGATGCCGTTGGAACAGGCTGAGATTTTGCTGCAAGCGAGAAAAAGCGGTGAGAAGCTTCCAGAACCCACAGAGCACCAAAGGATTGTGAATTCTTCCCTTGGACGCGTATACCCCCGCTGGTTTGATTTTGGAGAACTTTCTTACTTCCATCCTCCCTACCAGGCCCAGAATCTCTCCAAGGAGCCAGAACTCGTGTGGGAGACCGACATCAGAGGCCAGGACCTAGGCGCTGGGTGTCCTGGCTCTTGAGTCCATCATTTCCTGGGTTTTCTTTGTAGTGTTACATCTGTGCCTGCCTCTTTATGCAATATGGTTTATTTTGGGCCGATTTCAGATTTTAAGGACTAGAATCATGCTGTGTGTGTCGTTTCGAATCTTCTGTTCCACATCCCTGGCACACGGCTATGATAGTCCATTGCATCGAGCCACTGCACCTGTTTATTTCCTGTCAATGGGATTCGAGCTGGCCTGCTTCCAGCTTGGAGCTATTAGGAATAATGCCGCTGAGAACATTCTGGAACCCTTGCCAATGTAAACGTGCCAGATTGGAATTGCTGGGTCAACAGATGTGTTTTCTAAAGCAGCTGAAAAACGTACATACCCGCGGCACAGTCTGTGCGTTCCGGAGGCTGCCAGGGGCTCCCGGTCCTTACCAGTACTTGCTCCTGGCCGGGCTTTGTAAATTTCACCACGCTGGTGGATGAGAGTGATGGTCTCTAATAAAAGTTTTCATTTTCTTTTCCCTATGAAGTGAGGCTGACCGCATTTTCGGCCCCTTTTCCTATGCTTACCAGCCGTTTGGATTCCTTTCTTGTTTCTTTCTTGGAAGTGCCTGTTCAAGACTTTTGCCCATTTTTAAAAAATTAGTTTGTTTGTTTTTTTAAATTAATTGGTAGGAATTCTTCATAAAGTCTCAGTAGCACGTGTGACGCTTGATCTTGGGGTCATGAGTTTGAGCCCCACAGTGGACGTAGAGATCACTTAAAAAATAAAATCTATTTTTTCAGTTTTTTATTTTCTGAGATATTCTTAAAGGTTTATTTCTTTAGAGAGAGAGTGCGAGTGGGAGAGGGGCAGAGAGGGAGAGGAGAGAGAGAATCTCAAGCAGGCTCTGCACGGTCAGTGCACGGCCTAACGTGGGGCTCAAACTCACCAACCGTGAGATCGTGACGACCCAAAATCAAGAGTCAGATGCTTAACCGACTGAGCCACCTAGGCACCCCCACCCAAATAAAGTCCGTTTACAAGTCCATTGCTGGTTATGCATGTGCAAATATCCTCCCCACACTCTTTATGGCAAAAGCTATTTGTATATTGTTTAAAAAATGTTCCCTGCACATTATGTCCTTGTGTATAAATATATCATTTGTTGATTCAAAAAAATGTTTCCATTTGGGGGAAATGTGGTAAAATCATCACCTGTGTTTATCGGTGCCCTTGAGCAGGGGACATTGAAGCTGGCCCCGACTAGCTCCTGAGAGCCAAGCATTGCCGGTGGATCATTCACGATGGCACTTGAAATCCACACGGAGTATTCACACCACAGGAACTGGCAAGGGCTGCCATTCGGGGCCTCCCCCTCCACCCAGAGCTGGTTGTCACCCATTTACCAGCACGCCACTGCCTGCAGGGGAAGACTATGGCAATTTGGCTGATCTTCTGGTTTCTTCCTTTTTTTGTGCCTTGGATTCTCGGGGCTGCATTCCCTGGGGGTAACTATGGAAACTGGAGCAAAGTTCCCCCAAAATATCAGGAACCAATTAAAACCAAAACTGTAAGCAATTTTAATCAAAATGGGGAATTCAGGGACTCGCAAAAGACGACAAGAAAGAAAGAAAAGAAAGAAAGAAAGAAAGAAAGAAAGAAAGAAAGAAAGAAAGAAAGAAAGAAAGAAAGAAAGAAAAGAAAAGAAAGCGAACAAACACATGATTAGGAGAGAGAGCAAAGTGTAAATATCACCCAGCTGGTAAAGGAGGGGAGAACACTGTGCCAGAAACCAAACTCAGCCTATCAGTATTCATTATTTAACTATTTCTTTTTTTTCCCCCTAACATTTATTCATTTTTGAGAGATAGAAACAGAGCGTGAGCAGGGGAGGGGCAGAGAGAGAGGGAGACACGGAATCCAGGCTCCAGGCTCCAGGCTCTGAGCTGTCAGCACAGGGCCTGACGCAGGGCTCGAACCCACGAACCACGAGATCATGACCTGAGCTGAAGTCAGACGCTTAGACATCTGAGCCACCCACGTGCCCCATTATTTTACTATTTCTTATGAGAATGTTAAATATACATAAAAACGCACAGGAAAATGTCACCCGATTTCAACAGTTGTGAAACAACTGTGACCAAGCTTGTCACGTCCCAGTCCCCGCCCCGATATCGACACACTTACTTCTGAATGACGATCTTTTTCTCCTGGTCACAACCCACTGAAATGAGTGCCGTCTGCGGAGGAGAGAGGCAGCGATGCTGACCGGGGTCGGTGAGGGCCGCTGACGGCCCGGCTGTGTTAAGAACCCACGTGGGGACACTCACACCCAGGAGAGACAGGAAACGGTGTGCCCAGATCCTGACACGGTGACCCAGTCTCCCGGGACTCACTGTAACTGGGCCTGGCCCCGCGGAGCTCAAGCCCTAAGGGCTTGCCAGAGCTATGGGGGTGCAGTTAAGTCCCCTGTCACTAACTTACATCTTAGTTCCAACCAGAGACCAGTTTATAAGTGTGGGACAATACTTGGCATACAGAAGACAAACATGGATTTACCGTGGGACAGAATGCAATATTCCTATCAATTTTACAAAAATCGTGGTAAAGGGGTGCCTGGGTGGCTCAGCTGGTTAAGCGTCTAACTCCTTTCCGGTTCACGTCATAATCTCATGGTTCGTGAGATTGAGCCCCACATCTGTGCTGACAGCACAGAGCCTTGCTGTCTTGGGATTCTCTCTCTCTCTCTCTCTCTCTCTCTGCCCTCCTCTGCTCTCTCTCTTTCTCTTTCTTTCCAAATAAATAAATAAACTTTAAATAAATAAATAAGTAAATCAATCAATAAATAAACTTTAAAAATGTGGTAAAATACACAGAATATGAAATGTCCCATCTTAACCATTTTAAGCGCAAAGCTCAAGGCCATCAGGCACACTCACACGGCTGTACACCCACCCCCACCAACTGTTTCCAGAACCTTCTCATCTCCCCAAACGAGACTGTCCCCATGAGTCCTGACACCCCACCCCTGGTGCCCACCATCTGTCTCTGTGGACAGGACTGCTCTGGGGACCTCAGAGAAGTGGAATCCGACAGTATTTGGACTTCTGGGATTGACTTATTTCACTGAGCGTAACGTCTTCAAGATCCATCCATGTTGTGGTGGGTGTCAGCACGGACCGCCCTGTGTTTATTGGTTCACCCATCAGTGGACATTTGGGTAGCTAACACCTTTTGACTATTACAAATAAGGCCACTGTGAATATATGTGTACAGGTTTCCGTGTGGATGTGTGCTGTTTTCCGTTCTCTTGGGAGCACCAAGGAGTGCTGTCACCAGAGTTGGCCAGAGGTGTTCTGGGGATGACCGAGGAATGAGACGAGACACCTGCTCCTAGGTTGGTGAGTCTTGAGGGGCAGACCTGGGGGATGCTGTTGCGGGGCTGGGGGGGGCGGGGGGCAGGGAGTGACCCTTGCAACTGGGACCAGATCACCTCCATTTTCAAATCCTGAACATAGGCTCGGCCAGCCCCTCAGGGAAAATCCAGGGGAGACCCACCACCATTATTCTTAACGCTAACAACAAAGAATATGGGACAGTGAAAATTTGGGACATACCAGTGGCTTCAGGTCCACACATGAAATTTCCTTGTTGGCTACGTCCAGAGTGATGGTAGATACTGTGGGTTTCTTTATGCTGCGAGGCAATGGGAGTGTGTATTATCGCACATCAGTGTCACAAATAGTATCAGGGTTAAAAACAGTCACCAACCCACCGATTTACTTTCCATCCATCCATCCATCCATCCATTCATGATCCATCCAGGCCTCCGCTTGTCCATCCATTCATCCATTTGTTCCAGAATACTGACTGAGAGAACCTCTGCTCACACGTGGTGGCCCCACCCTCCCTTGAGTTTCTACTTCTTCTCGAGTCAGTTTTATTCATTTACGTATAATAACTTCTTGAAAACCACATCTGACATCCATTATTATTACCTAGCTACGTATCATAACATTATTATCACCTAGCTACGTATAATGTTTTCTTGTTCCGTTTTTCATTGAAGTATAATTGCAATACAATATCATATTGGGGCTCCTGGGTGGCTCAGTCTGTTGCACGTCCGACTTCGGCTCAGGTCGTGATCTCGCGGTTCATGAGTTCGAGCCCCGCGTCCAGCTCCGTGCTGACAGGTCAGAGCCCGGAGCCTGCTTCGGATTCTGTGTCTCCCTCTCCTCTCTCTGCCCCTCCCCCACTCATCTCTCTCTCTCTCTCTCTCTCTCTCTCTTTCAAAAATTAAAAGCATTAAAAAAATTTTTTTAAAGAAATGCAATATCATCTTAGTTCCAGGCGTACAACATAGTTATTTAATGTCTGCATACATTGCAAAAGGATCGCCATTAATAGGCTAGTTACCATCTGTCACCATACAAAGTTAATACAACATTACTGACCGTGTTACCTAGGCACTTCAATACATCCCCATGACTTCTTTATTCTATAACTGGGGGCGTATTTCATTGTATACATACACCACGTCTTCTTTATCCATTCACCTCTAGATGGATCGCTTAGATTAGATGGCTTCCATAATTTGGCTTTTGTAAATGATGCTGCAACAAACAAAGGGGCGCGTGTATTGTTTCAAATTAGCGTTTCGGTCTTCTTCAAATAGTCAGACCTGGAATTGGGTTGTGTGGTGGGTCTCCGTTTCATTTTCTGAAGAGCCTCCGTCCTGTTCTCCAGAGCGGCTGCACCAGTTTGCATTCCCACCAACAGTGCAGGGCGCCCCTTTCTCCGCATCCTCGCCAACCCTTGTTTCTTGTGTTGTTGATTGTAGCCATCGTGATGGGTGTGAGGTGGTGTCTCGGTGTGCTTTTGATCTGCGTTTCCCTGAGGCTGAGTGACGTGGGGCATCTTTTCACGTGTCTGTTGGCCATCTGGATGTCTTCTCTGGAAAAGCGTCTCTTCAGATCTTCTGCCCATTTTTTCATCGCGTTGTTGTTGTTGTTCTTGAGTTGCGCGTGTTCCTGACGTGTTTTGGACGTCGGCGTCTTCTCCCAGTCAGTGGGCCGCCTTTTCATTTTGTGGGTGGCTTCCTTCACTGTGTGGGAGCTTTTGAGTTGGGTGAAGCCCCTCCCCTTATTCTTTGATAAGTCTCCACACTTGTCATTTTCTGTTCTACTGTTTTTTCAATTCTCTCCTTCGTCAGGATTGCGGGGTCGCCTTGTGTACTGGGCTTCTGAAGAACCAGCTTTATGTGTCACTTTGACTTTATCCTGTCTTTTTGCCCTCTGTTTAATACATTTCAGACTGTATCATCGTTAACTCCCTTCTTTTTGTGGTTCCCCTGGTTAAGTTCAATGTTTACTTCATGCGTCTTTAGTCCGTTCTTCCCCCTCATAATAAAAGTGCTCAGGGTACAGATGTTCCTTTGAGTATGTTTCAGCCGTGTTGCACGGATTCTAGGATTCAAGGGTTATTTATAAAAGCGTCTCTTACTTTCCAAGAAAGGGGGCTTTTTGTCATTGGTTTTGTTTTTCTGGCCATTCAGTTCTAGTTTTGTTGGATTATGGTCTGAGCATGTGGTCTGAAAATCTCTACTGGGAGATCTGGTTGATTTTTTTAATTGCCAAGTACATAAAAAATTGAGTTAAATATTTTTTTAAAATGTTTATTTATTTTTGAGACAGAGAGAGACAGAGCATGAACGGGGGAGGGGCAGACAGAGAGGGAGACACAGAATCGGAAGCAGGCTCCAGGCTCTGAGCCATCAGCCCAGAGCCCGACGCAGGGCTCGAACTCACAGACCGTGAGATCGTGACCTGAGCTGAAGTCGGACGCTTAACCGACTGAGCCACCCAGGCGCCCCGAGTTAAATATTTTTTTAATGTTTATTTGTTTTTGACAGAGAGAGAGACAGAGTGTGAACAGGGGAGGGGCAAAGAGAGAGAGGGAGACACAGAATCCAAAGCAGGCTCCAGGCTCCGAGCTGTCAGCACAGAGCCTGACACGGGGCTCGAACTCACGAACCGCGAGATCGTGACCGGAGCCGAAGTGGGACGCTCAACCGACTGAGCCCCCCCAGGCGCCCCTAGAATACTTTAGTTCTGATGTCTTAGCAAATTCCAATTATATGTGATACAGTGATACAAAATTCCACACGTAGAATGAAGACTTGTTGAAATACATATTCTAGGGACCCCCTGTGCGTGGGGTCATGCAGGACGTGTCCTTCTGTGTCTGGCTTCTGTCACCGCACACAGTGTCCTCAGGGTCCATCCACGTGGTGGCAGGCGGCAGGATGTCCCTCCTTCCTGAGGCTGGGTGATATCCCAGCGTGTGGATGGGCCACACTGTGTCCACCTACTGGGCCATCTGCGGATACGGGGCTGTTTCCACGTTTTGGTGACTGTGAATCAGGCTGCTGTAAACACGGGTGTGCACATATCTGTTCCAGTCCTGCTTCCCATTCTTCCGAGTGTAGACCCAGAAGCGGGATTGCCAGGTCATATGGTAATTCTATGTTCAATGTTTTGAGGAACCACCATTTAGAAAGTGTTGCCGATTATTCTGGCCTTACTGTCCTTGGAGGGAGGGAGTCTGGATCTCGGCCCCGCGTTCCCAGATCTGTCAAGGGAACCCCATACACGGGGGCCGCCCACTCCCATCTAGGCGACCACGTACCTGGAGGTGAAGTTGGGGTTGGCCCTGCCCCAGTGGTGCTGCTGCCTCAGGGAGATGTTCTGTGGAACCGAGAACAAACACAACGGTGGGGCAGCCCGGAGTGGCTGAGGATCGGGGCTCGGGGGGGACACTGAGGTAGGATGGGGCTTTGGGAGGAGGAGCCTGGAAAGCATCCAGCTGCCTCTTGATTCTAATCGTACCACCGGTGAGAGGCTTCTAGAAGTTCATAGAAATGACCAACCCCAAGCTCCTTCGTTTCCTGGCTGCCTTTGTCTGAGGGACGCGGAGTGAGGGGTGACTTTGTTTCCCCTCTTCTTTAGGAGGTGACGGGGACCGGTCCAAAAATCCCCCTGTGGCTGACTGATGCCTTGTCAGGCTCCCGTTTTGTGGAAACCGCCCAACCCTACCCTAGGCTTCCGGGGTCAAGTGCAAACTCCACGGTGTGACCGTGAGGCCTGGCTCGGCCCTGTGGAGCACCCTGGCGTCCTGTTTGGCCAGGACCCTCCTGCCCCCCCCGCTCCCCGTTTCACCTCCATCCTCGTGCCTCAGTTTACCCAGCTACCCAGATTTCCCTGGGGCTGTGTTAGGCTCTCTGTCACGCCCTCCTGCTTGTCCCCTGTGCTTCCTGCCTGCAGGGAGCAGGGGAGGGGCGGGGAGCAGCAGGGCCCGTGTCCTCTCCAGATGCTTTAGCGCCTTATCCAGCCGTGGGCGGGCGAGGAAGGAAGTTCAGGCCGAGGAAGCCTTCAGGCGGCCGGACCTGGCTGGGCCCAGTCAAGGCTGTGCCCTTCCCTGCACTGACCTGGGCCTGGGGCAGAAGCCTCACCAGTCTGCAGCTTTCAGGTAAGTCATAGGTGTAGCCGTCCTCGTAGATAATACCTGCAGCCCCAGGGTGGGGTTGCTCACCATTGCCTGGTGGGGGGGGGGGGTGGGGAAGGAGACGCACACCATTTTCTGGGGCCGGGGGACAAAGGGAAATACTGGATCTCACCACAGGGGACCCCTGTGCCCCTTCACACTAAAAACCGAGCTTGCTCTGCAAAGGCAGCCGCCTCCACCATGTCGCCCCACCTCGTCACTTCCCCCCAGTGTGGCCTCTGAGCCCCGGCAGACAGTTGAGCACTGGGACCCAGACCTGTCCCTGCTGGTGGGTTTGCACCCACCCCCCCCACCCCGGAGGACCCCCAAGGAGGCCCGTCTCAAGCAGGGTAGGGAGAGTGAGATAAGAGCCGGAGCCAGCCTGGCCTCCCCTGGCTGGACTTCACCCCATGGCCTTACATTAATCTCACCCAGAGTCTCCCTGGAGGTATTCGGCTTGGCCACTTGGGTTTCAGGTCTGAGGACCCCCACTGTCTCTTGAGCACCTCCAGCCTTGAGGGAGGCCGAGGGAGTCGGGGCTGCTGGCCAGCACAGAAGGGTCCTGGCTGGGCTAAGAGGAAGAGGAGTGGGAAGCATAGAACAGCCCAGAAGCAGGATGGAGAAGGAGGCACGGAGGCCCCGGGGAAGGAGGCCGGGCGGTGAGGGTCAGCGGTGCCAGGGGACTTAGGTCATGACGCTGGGGACCCCAAGTGCTGAAGCACCGGGTGGCGTCAGGAGGAGGTGGCCTTACCAGTGGGACCGGTGACCTGCCTGGCCGCGGAATCATGAGCGCCGTGAGCTGCAGTTTGCTGTTCATGTCGATGCTGTACATCCTGTTGTCAAATTCTCCTTGCAGAAGCTCTACCTGGGCAGAAACGCCGCGCAAATCAATCCGTCGCATCAGATGCGCGGGGGCGGGCAGGCAGCGGTCTCCCCTGGGGATGGAACCTTCTAGTCTTTTGTGCACGCCACTGTCTTCCCTGCCGGATCCTGCAGCC